TAAAGGAGCAGGACGTGTGTATGAGACTCCATGTGATTAACAATGACTGGGACATATTTGGTACTCCAGCCTGGAGCACACCCTTCCTCAATATGCTAAGGAATCACTCCTCACTTTACATACTCTTCTGTTTGTTAAACTTATTAACTGCATGTGATACACAGTCTACGTCAATGGTCATTACTCATTAACTTCTCTGCCCAAACCAGTGTGTTAACTTGAGATTTTCATATGACAGTGAAGGACTCCACTGAAAGTATGCAAGAGATAATAAGGATATACCCTGGTTGAATTGAATATTATCCACAGCTGTTCTCTTAGTAGAGTGAGTTGTAAGTGGGGGATGAATTAGAGAAAAATTGTGAGTAAAGACAGTTTGGAAAACAGAGGAAGGAGACTTTAGAAATGCTTTGAATCTTAACTTCTCAGACTTTTTGGTCCTGTAACTTCTGCCTACATACTTTGACTTCAAAGTAACTGCTAATTCTCTTCTAAGAAAAGTCAAAACTAAGGGGTTTTATTTTATCTTCTTCCATTAATACAATACTCTGAATTTGTATCAAAATAGTTTCATTATAGGATTCCTGGTGTATGACGCTGTGAGTTAATGCACTGAACTGCAAAGTCGGTTTGAAGTGAAAGAATGGCAGTTCAAGCTCACCAGCTGCTCCTCAGAAACCCTACACAGGATTGCTATGGGTCAGAACCATCTCAATGGCACTTAACAGCAACAACAACAAATCCATTATAAGGAGCTCTGGTAGCACTGTGGGTTACAAGTCTGACTGCTACCAGCAAGGTCAGTAGTTTGAAAATACCAGCCGCTCCATGGAAGAAAGGTGTGGCTTTCTGCTGCTATAAAGATTTACACCCTTGGAAATGCTCTACAGGGTTGCTATGGGTAGGAACTGATTCCACGTTACATAACCACCACCACCACCAATGTCATTACGGGAAAAATGGAGGGTCTTGGCAGGTATCAACGTAGTATATTTAAAAATATTATTTGTGAGATGAAAACTTGCTAGTGACAAGCACTTGGCTGGAAGAGAGGTGGCTGGACTATCCAAATTGGCCAGTGGTAATAAGGAAACATTATAAACATGTCAGGTATGGAGGTCAGGAATAATGAAGGAAGGGGTGGGAAGGGCAAACTTCCAAAAATGTTGTTTTTATTTGCTATCTAGTCAGCTCCAGTTTAAGGTGACCCCATACATGCAGAGTAAAACTGTGTCTCCTAGGGTTTTCAAGGCTGTGATTTTTTGGAAGATCCCCAAACCTTGCCGCTAAGGCAATTCTGAGTGGATCTGAACTGCCGCACGTCGGGCTCATAATTAAGTGACTAGGAGTTAAGCACTTAACCAACTGTGTCACTGAAGGATTTCTTCTACACTAGTTGTTGTTGTTAAGTACTGTTGGTTAGTTCCAACTCATAGTGATCCTGTATAGGATTTCCTGGGAGAAGGACTCAAATCAAGCAGAATGGGAAACAATAAGCCATCTCACCATCTTAATGGGTTGCCCTGTGTGTTGGGATAAGTACCAGAAGTAGAAGCAGTTTGAAATGTTATGATATAGTCACTTAATTGGGACTGTAACAGTACTAGAAAGGTAATTTAAAAACAACAAAAAAAAGTCTCATCGTTGTATTTATATCCATTTACTGTTTATCAGCATGATTAGAGAGAGACCCAAAAATTAAGACTAGAATTAATAACCAGAGGTGGGTAGTGTTATAAAAGCAAGCTCTTAGCCAAGAAAGCAAAGGCTTAAATTGCTCTTCTCGATGGCATGTACTAACTTGCAATTCTGGTAAGTTCCCAAATGTTTTCAAGGCTTTATTATGGGTGTCAAATGAGGGACAAGATTTCACTGAAGCTTTAGTAATGTGGCCTTCAGTTTACAGCAGTGCCTGTGAGACTGGAACATATTGCACTAATTTATTCAATACAGGATTTCAGTTTCTTTTATTTCCTGTGTGGCTGAGATAGACACAGAGAGATAGACTAACAGATAAACTCATAGATAGAAGACATAGATAATCTAGTGGTTAAGAGTAAGAGGTCTTGTGTCAAACTTTTCTGCTTGAATCTAACTCTGCCTCTTATTTGATGTGTTTAAGTCTGGGAAAGGTAACGAAAACTTTCCTGCCTTAGTTTCCTCATCTACAAACTGAAGGTTACAGAATCAACTTCATAGGTTTGTTGTGAGGAATGAGTAGAGTATGCACGGTATTTTAAACCAGAATCAGGTAAACAGTATGTGCTCAATACAAGTAAATGCAGGAAGATACATATTAATACACATACATTGTTATATGAAAGGTAGTACTACATTGCATTTCTCCATTCATGTTCTTTGGGGCAAATAAACCTTCTTCCTATGTTATACAGTCTCTCAAGAGAGTCCGAAATTTATCCAACCCTGAGTCATCCCATCCTTTCCAAGAAGGAAATTAGCATCTCTGGTGACATAAGGACAAGAAACTCTATGTGTAATTCAGGTTCTCCAAGTTTTTCTAGACTTCTTCCTCTAGAGGGAAAATCTATGGATTTATCTCTTGATCAAATTTCAGGTTTTCTTACACTTACACTTCTAATGACGTATTTACTGCTGTTGTTAAGTGCAGTCTAGGTGGTTCTTACTCAGATTGATCCCTAGGTAGGATTTCTACAGAATGGCTGGAGGCTTGAACTGAAGACCTTACGATAAACAGTCCTGTGAGTATTTCTACAGAGCCACACCAAGACCCCAACTCATGTATTATTTCCTCTTAATTCTCTAATCATTCATGTTTTAATAAATAGTGTAGGTTTAGCTTTGCCAATTTGCCTTTAGTGCCGCATTCCCTAAAACTTAAACTGTGGCTCTTCTCTGGAAACATCTCTCTTTCAAGTATTGCCCTCACTTTAATGTACCTTTATAATTTAAATGCTATAACTTATGAGTGGATGTCAAAGTTTATTAGGAAAAATAACCAGATAACCCCGGAAAAGTTATAGAATTAGTTCTGTGATGGCTTTAGAAGATTCCATTATGTCTTTAAAATATCTAGAGATGAAGTTCATTTCTGAGAAAAATGAGATACTAGTCTATTTTTGAGAAGCCCGGGTGACATTGTGGGTTACACAGTAGGGCTTCTAATCACAAGGTCAGCAGTTTAAATCCATTAGTCACACCATGGGAGAAAGATGAGGTTTTCTGATCCTGAAAATATTACAGCCTTAGAAACGCTATACAAGTTGGCTATGAGTTAGAACACACTCGATGGCACACAACCACATCACCACCACCAGTCTATATTTGAGAATTTCAAGAGCAATCCTTCTTTAAATCCCTACTGGTAGCAAATTTACAAATCCCTGGGATGAACACAGGGTTTCTGTGCTTTAAACTCACCTAATAGCACTGGCAAAAAAATGCCTGAAGATCTATGTCCTAAAATTTACAGTCAAGAAAACACTATGGAGTTCTGCATAGTAATGCATAGTTTTGCCAAGATTGAGATCAAATCATGATGAGTTGGAACTAACTTGAGGGCAACGGGTTCATCTGTTTGTTTGGTTTAATGTGGCAGATTTTATAGACTTTTACTTTATTTAAGAACTATTACACATTTAAATTTTCCTCCAGCACTTTAAAGGTAAAGTCACTTGGCTAAGATGCTCCTAAATTTCCTACTGAATGTTTATAGCTGCTATTGAATATACTGTATCAGTCATATTAAATTATTCTGTTTCAAATAAAACATAGTTTTTGATTTCATGTTGTATGAAAGATGATTAGCTTTCTACTGAAATTCACTCTTTCCAATGGCACACAACTAAACTACATTTCCCAGACTCTTGTATTTTATGGACTATGATCAATTCTATAATAGAATGGAAGCAGAAGTGAGGTTTGCCATTACCGGGGTGGGGTTTTAAAAGAGCATGTATGCTTCTTCCATACTCTTTTCTCTTTTGTTAGTGTTCACAAGGATCAGAGTAACCTTGGGAGCTCCAAATTTCAGACGGCAGAATTATTCTCAGTTAGGTTTTCCAAATGGCTAAATATAAAAGAGGTGCCCTGCACCAAAATTCTTGTCCTTGGCTGGTACACTATTAAGGAATAAACTTATCCTATATTTAAGCTGGAGTCCTGGTATGGTACTGTAGGATAAGCAATAGGCCATAAGGTTGGTTTGATCAGCAAGGTAGGGGATTCAAACTCACCAGCCACACCTCAGAAACTCTACGCAGGATCACTATGAGACGGAACAGACTCCATGGCATTTAACAACAACAATATTTAAGCTAGTATATATTTGAGTGAATTTATTACAGCAGTTTAGCATATCTCAACAAATATGTTTTATAAATATATGGTCTTGCTAAAATCATGTGAGAGTTGAGACATCTTTAACTTTTAATACTGTTTGCTTTGTCAAAGATGTTTTCATATGCATTATTATTTAGGTGTCTCACAACACCCATTGAAACTATATGTAAATATATTTTTAACAGTATTACTATAAGATAGGACTTCTGGTATGGCTCTGTAGGATCAGCACTAGGCTGCAAACCACAAGGTCGACACCCATTGAAACTATATGTAAATATATTTTTAACAGTATTACTATAAGATAGGACTTCTGGTATGGCTCTGTAGGATCAGCACTAGGATGCAAACCACAAGGTCTACAGTTCAAACTCACCAGCTGCTACTTGAAGACTCTATACAGGGTTGCTATGAGTTGGGACCAACTTGATGGCACTTAACAACAACAATAAAGGTAAGATAATTTAAAAGTCCCCAGCTAAAAATAATAGAAATAAATATATACTTCATACTTGGGATGCCATTCAATAGAAAATGGCATAGAACCATTAAGAAACAATTTTTAAAAATTAAGAAGAGTTTCCATTTCAAACACACAGAGATAATAAATTTGATTGTTATGTTTCATGGTCTAAATTATAGGCGAAAAATGTAAATGGTAATATTGTAATTATTCTTACCTGCTAAAGATGACATATTAATTATAATGCCACCTTCACCTCCATTTTGCTTACTCATGTAATCCAAGCCAAGGTAGGTTCCACTGATAACAGAAACCTAATTCAGAGACATAAATGGAAAAAAGCAACATAGTGATTATCTTTTACCATCTATTCTAGTCTTTATTGCTAGTTCACATCTAGAGAGCTTTCTGAAAATATTATTAATAAATGGTTTTTGAAAAAAAACATTTTTTCATTGTGAATTGAGTAAAGGTTTACAGCGAAGTTCATTAGTTTTACATTAACCAAATCATATATTTCATTTCAGTGACTGCAGTCCCCTCCATATAACATCAGTTATCTGGCATCTTCCCTGTGATTCTTCTTTCCATTGAACCTTCTCTTCCAACCTTACTGAAATTTGTTCTTAGGTAAATACTGCCCTTTTGATCTTGAATAATTGACTCTTCTATCATATGCCCACCTCACTAACATTGTTGTTCCCCCTATATGCTTAATGACCACTTGGTTGGAAATTGAGGCATGAGGTTGCATTCACCTCCAGATGAAAATGCTTTGTTTTTGCTTTTGAATGTTAGTCATTTACTACAGATGTTCTGTTTACTGTATGATTATGGAGTTTATGAGTGTAACGTTGCTGCAAACTGTCACTTATATTGCCACTCTGAATGCTGCGACAACAATTATATTTCAACAGTGTTCGCCAACTTAATTCTCCTCATCTTCAAGGGTTCTAAACATTCTTTTTCTTTTCCAAATATTAGACACATAATTAATTTACTCTTCTATTAAGCATTTCGTTTTAATACCTAAATAACTCTGCTTTGTCTGTTCTTAGATCATGAAATATATAATACTGAATATCTTTGACTACTTGTACTCTTAGTTTCTCCTTTTTTTACTGTTTAATAAAACCTTATTTTTTTAACTATCTATCCTCCATGTAGTACAGAAGAAGAAGATTTATATAAATTTAGTGTTTGTTGTTGTTAATGTTAATGCCATTGAGTCAGTTCCAACCCATAGCGATTCTGTGTAGGGTTTCAAAAAAGCTATTGATGAGTTTGAACTGCTGACCTTGCAATTCAAACTGACCTTGCAGTTAAACACTTAGCCTACATTGCCACAGCAGAACTCCAAATTTAGTATGTTGTTGTTGTTAATTATGTGGAGTTGGTTCTGACTCATAGCGACCCTGCACAGGGTTTCCGAGGCTGCAAATCTTTATGGGAGCAGAAAGCCTCATCTTTCTCCTGCGGAACCGCTGGTAGTTTTGAACAGCTGACCTTGAGGTTAGCAGCCCTATTCATAACCACTATGGTACCAGAGCTCAACTGATACAAAACTCATTCTCTTTGCCAGTGACTGGTTTATTAATGGGTGTATGACTCAGTTCTGGTCAGAAAGACCTGGGAAGACACTGACGGTGTAAGGTGAGTGGTTGGTTTCCTTTAAGGACAAAGGTATATTACCCTTTTACATTGCCAGGTATACATACAATGGCTAGAACTAAATAGCCATATTACTAGACTAGCACACAACTAGGCTACATTTCACAGACTCTCTTGCATTTTATAAGTGATGATCAAGTTCTATAGTAAAATGGAAGCAGAATTGAGGTTTGCCATCACTGTAATGGGGCTTTTAAAACAGTAAGTTGGTGCTATTAAGTGCTGTTGAGTTGGTTCTGACTCACTGTGACCCTGTATAGGGTTTACGAGGAGTGGCTGGTAGATTTGAACCATTGACCTTGTGGCTAGCTTATCCTACAACACCACATCAGTATTTCAAAAGAGTAAGTTGTTGTTGTTGTCCTGTGCCATAGAGTTGGTTCTGACTCATAATGACCCTGTGGTTCACAGTCTAGTTCTTATCCTACATAGCCACAAGAGTTAAAAACAGCAAGTTACAATAAAAAAATGAAGCCAAGATAAAGAATGGCAGGTGAGAGGGATGAAAAGAAACTGGGTCCTGATGGAAGCACCGAGCAGTACTAGCAGGAATCCTTGAGCTCTGTGTCATGTGACCTCACAAAACTGTTTAATGTACTTGGAGTGCAAATTTTGTGACCTGAAAGCTGATATTCAGTAATGTCTGTCTTCTGCTTAATTTACTCATGACTGCTTACACTTACCTTTTCACATAGATTTATCTGATTTGCTACCAACCTCTCTTTACAGGAAGCACTTTTCTGTTATATTCTGTTGTTGTTGTTATTTGCCGTCGAGTCGGTTCCGACCCATAGCGACCCTGTACATGGTTTCCAAGGCTGCAAATCTTTACGGGAACAGAAAAGCCTCATCTTTCTCCCGCAGAACAGCTGGTAGTTTCGAACTGCTGGCCTGAAGGTTTGCAGACCGATTCGTAACCACTACGCTATCATTTTAAAAATTCATCACTACCAAAAACAACTTGGGAAATGTAGCTGATATCGGAAATTTTAAGAACATGTTTTCCTTCCAGCTCAGATTTTTTATTTTTATTTTTATTCCTTCTATGACATCTCAATTCTGGGGGGGAAGGGGTTTAGAACACAATAGATTAAATGAAACCATAGAATTTTGAGTCTGAAATTGAAAGTACATATTAGTATTTATCTTTCTTTTATTTAAAAATAAAGTCTTTTTGGAGTTTTATTAAGTATTTAGCGATGCATTTCTTACCTAATAATAGTTGTAGAACAAGAGCAAAAAAATTGAAGGTTCAATTCACTAAACCTAAGTGTCATTTTGAGATTAAAAAGGTTTAAGGAAAATGAGTAAACTCTACACATGAATCCCTTTAAAAAGGGAAAAAAAAAAAAAAGAACATTTATTGTTTATATGAGAGGAAAGAATGTAGATGGCTAAAATTACTACAGTCAGATTGTGTTAGTTTCTAACTAAGTCTCAAGCATGTCTGAGCAGAATTTCTATTTACATATATTGGTGCTATGTTTTTATTCTCAGGTATTTACAGCTTTGCTGACACCTTGCTTTTGTGTTTTCAGCATCTGAAAGATGAAGCCAGGTAGGAAATCAGGGAAAGTTTAAGTTGTATTTTTAATTTAAAAAAGTAGAATTTATTGCCAGGTCTTTTGTGAAGGTCAGCAAGGGTATATTTTTCTCATCTAAACTGATAAGTTTAAGAACTAAATGAAAGCATTCTTAGGATGAATCTGCAAAATGAGATCTGATGCTTGGCTGTGTTTCAATTTTTACTATAAACCATCTCCTCCTTATTCCAGACCTCATATTAAAGGAAGTTTTAGAAAACAGAGAACAAAATATCTCTTGAACATTTTTCTCCTTTATCAATGTTTATATGCATATAACTTACATATAGGACTATTACAATATGAATCAACAATATTTCTGTCATTTCTAAAACTCTTCATTAGAGGTTGAGTCAGAAGAATTTCTCAGCTACCTACATATTTCCTATCAAATATAAATGAGATCATGGAAATGAAGAAAATAGGAATTTTGATACTTTGGAAAGTAAATACAGTTTATTGAGTATGAACTATGTAGAAGCCCTATGTACTATGCAGAAAACCAAAAAGGAAGAACACGGTCAGCATTTCTCAAGCTGGGAGAACTGAAGAAAAATTTCAAGCCTTGACTTTCATTATAGAAGGATTCTCTGGGCAAATTATTGAAGGATGCAGAAAGCATCAAGAGAAGATGGAAGGAATACACAGAGTCACTGTACCAAAAGAAAATGGTTAATGTTCAACCATTTCAAGAGGTAGCATATGATCAAGAGCCACTGATACTGAAGAAGGAAGTCCAAGGTGCATTGAAGGAATTGGTAAAGAACAAGGCACCAGGAATTGATGGAATAAAAATTGAAATCTTTCAAGAAAGCGAGGCGGCACAGGAGGCACTCACTCATCTCTGACAAGAAATTTGCAAGATGACTATCTGTACGACTGATTGGAAGTTATCCGTATTTATGTCCATACCAAAGAGAGGTGACCTAACAGAATGTGGATTACATCGGGCAATCTCTTTGATATCCCATGCGAGTAAAGTTTTACTAAAGATAATACAGAAATGGCTGCAAGCATACATTGACAGAGAACTTCCAGAGTTTCAAGTCAGATTCAGAAGAGGCCATGGAATGAGGCATATCATTGCTGATGTCCGATGGAGCTTGGCTGAAAGCACAGAATATCAGAAAGATGTTTACCTGTGTTTTATTGACTATGCAAAGACTTTCAATTATGTGGATCATTACAAGCTATGGACAACATTGTGAAGTATGAGTATTCTGGAATATTTGATTGTGGTCATGAGGAATCTGTACATGGATCAAGAGGCAGTTGTTCGAACAGAATATGAGAATATTGAATGGTTTCAAATTAAGAAAGGTGTGCGACAGGGTTGTGTTCTTTCACCATACTTATTCAACCTGTATGCTGAGCAAATAATCTGAGAAATTGGGTTATATGACGAAAAACAAGGCATTAGGATTGGAAGAAAATTCATTAGCAACCTGCGATATGCCGATGATACAACCTTGCTTGCTGAAAGTGAAGAGGACTTAAAATAATTACTAATGAAGATCAAAGAGCACAGTCTTCAGTATGGATTACATCTTAATGTCAAGAAAACAAAAAATCCTCACCATTTGACCAATAAACAACAGTCATATCAATGGAAAAAAGACTGAAGTTGTTAAGGACATCATTTTTCTCGGATCAACACTCATGGAAGCAGCAGTCAAGAAATCAAACAACATATTGCATTAGGCAAATTGCTGCATAAGACCTTTTAAAAGTGTTGAAGAGCAAAAGATATCAGCTTGAAGTACTAAGGTGCACCTGACCCAAGCCATGGTATTTTCAATAACCTCATATGCACGCGAAAGCTGCACAGTAAATAAGGAAGACTATAGAAGAATTGTTGCTTTTGAGTTATGGTGTTGGACGAGAATACTGAATGTTCCATGGCTGCCAGAAGAAATAATAGCTCTGTTTTGGAAGAAGTGCAGCCAGAGGGCTTCTTGGAGGCCAAGATGGTGAAACTTCATCTCTCATACTTTGGACATATTGTCAGGAGGGACTAGTCACTGGAGAAGGATATGATGCTTGGTAAGGTGGAGGGTCAG